CTTCTTCTTTTTTTTCTTAGAGTTTATCTAGATAAGATATTTGCTTCTTCTTTTTCTCACATCATATAGGATAATTCATTTGTATAGTTTTTTTTTATTTGAGATAAAATATGTGCAAGATCATTTTTTCTTGATTTTGAAGCAAAATATATATTTCATAGTAATTGGTTAAATTTCTCATTTGATATAATTAGTTTCCTAATTTAGATTAATTTGATTATATAAATTATTTGTTAATCCAACAACCTATTTTCATAATTATTTAACTTAATAAAATATTTTTTAAATTAAAATACAACAAAAGTTTATATGTTGTTTTTTATAGCATTTAGCCTTGTTATGGTTTTTTTTCTCTAAGGCTTAGTTTCTGAAGATGAAGCCCTCCTGATTTAGTATTTCAAAGGCGTATTCCATCTTTGTATTTTTTTTGCGTAAGATAGTAAAATGAAATTTAGACAAGAAAAAAAAAATAGATAAACAAAGTACTATTTATGTATTGTGGTATGGATCAAATAAGTGAAGTGATGTAACAAATTTTCATTGGCGAAGGTTAAATGGATACTCAAGAACAGAGCATCGAACCACCATTTTAAGAAGTTTTTTTTCCCATTCTTATTTATTTCGAAACGCAACAAAGAGATGAAAAAGCACACGACTAGTCCATAAAACCCAAAAGAGATTAAAAACCTTAAGACTGCTAATAAAAAAACACTTACTTAAACCACCAAACAACTAAGCCACCAAATATTCTTCTTCTTTGTTCTTCCTTATTCCTTGTTTAGTTGGAAGGATGGAAGAAAATGGCATCAGAAGTCCTCTTAGATCGGAAAGCCTTCTCAACCTCCGGACCAACCTTAAACGCCGCCTGCAAAACCTCCGGCGACAAAGCCTTCCACACTGATGTCTTTCCCGCCAAATGCGTGAAGATTGGGCTGCCAAAAACCAAAAACTTGTTTAGATTAACAATCAAAATATTCGTTAATCAATCGAAAATGGATTAAAAGACAAGATCTTACTCAGGAGTAGTGACAATGGAGAACCAAGACAAACCATCAGAATCAGCAATCTTGGAGACAACAAAGAACCTAGGAACAATGAACAAGGCACCAGCTTTCACATGAGTCTCAAGCACTCTCTTCCCGTCGGCTCCAACGATCTGAACACGACCACTACCACCAACAATGTAAGTAACCTGAAGAGCAGAGTCACAAGAAAAACCAGGAGAACACATTGAATGCCCATCGATCCTAACGAGGTCAGCTCCAAATCCAACTTCACCAACCAAAGGAAGATTCTTTGTGTTCAACACAACAACTCTTCCTCCATTCTTGATATCAACATCAAGAGGAGCCTCCAAGCAGTTCAACACAAACCCTTCTCTATCACCTTTCTTCGGTGAAGGCATCTTCAGACTCGGATCGACTTTCACGATTCCATTACCGGTCTGTGACCCGACAAGCTTCTTCACTGTGGCCTCATCAAGATCCCAAGCCCTGCCTACAAACTCGGTTGAGAAACCAGTGAAGATTCCATTGGATCCGGTTAAGTAAAAGTCAGTGAACTGTCCTGCTTTGTGACCCTTGTGAGTCTCACCGAGGAAGAGAATGACTAGCTCAGTGTCTTCATTGTTGAACCACCATGTCACTACACCAAAAGGTAAAGCTATTGAATCTCCTTTCTTGATTGCAATCACTTTCTCCTCTTTCTCAGGGAGCACGATTCCAGCTGTTCCAGCTCCTGAAAATTATTGTTACAAGAATCCAATCAAATCCCAAATATCATACTCAAGCAGATCAGATTAACAAACCCATTAAACAAAATCAGATGATATGTAATAATGTTGCAAACTTTGTATGACAAACAACAAAAACAGAGTGAAGTGACCAAAAAGGAAGATCTAAAAGGTGAATCACTACACGATCAAAACATATATAAATATGAAATATAGTAAAATTGATCAAACCCATTAACCAGAATGTTATAATATGTAAGAAAGTTGCAAACTTTGGATGGAAAAAGAGAGGGAAATTATTAGATCTCAAAGACGGACCTTGAAGAACATAAGCGACCTTGGAGGAATCAGAGTAACGAGGAAGAGCGAAGCCAAACTTCTCGAGAGCGAGCTTAGAGGCTCCAATGTTGCCATCTCGGAGCATCGGTAACTCTTCAGGGCACCATGCAAAGTACGAACCACCGTCTCCTCCGTACACTTTCTTCGGCAGCTTCGGTGAAAGATCCAACTCCATTGTTACACACTAAAGATTGAAACGGCGAAATAAGATTTAATTAAATGAGAGAAAGATTTGAGGAAATTTTGATGTGAAAAGTGGAATACAGAGAGCACGTATTTATAGGGGGCTTGGAAAATATTTCTGTTACTGACTAAGAGATTTATGGGGAAACAAAGATCTCAAATTACTATCGGATAATACTGTAATTAATTTGTATAAATAACGCATTATCCATTTTAGACATTATCGATCATTTAATTCATATTTATCCACTTTTATTATTTTATCAACATTGGTCAAAGAATTGCGAAAGAACGGTTGTATGTGTTTGAACGAATCTACAAATTATGATGCTTATTTGTTGCAACTTTCAAGATAAACGTAGATTGCATTGGATAATCATCCTAATATTTTTAATTATTAGTCAATTAAAAAAGTATTACATACATAATGAGTCGAAGAACTTGGGAAATCTAAACGAACGTGGTAGAATTATAACTTTGAATCTTGGAACATTTATTTTTTGCTTTTGTTTACCACAAAATCTATGTATAATAGCTAATTCTTTTTAAAAACTGATGACATCACTTTTTTAAAAATTTTGGTTTAATCTTTTATCGAAGAATGACGTGTTAAATGCAACTGATGAAAATTGAATAAAATTGAGATGTTTCACTTAGCTGAACCAAACCATGAAAACTTATAATTAATCATAAACCAAATAGATTACGACATATGATGAATTATTTTTAAGAGTAAATCGTCTTTTTATGAGCTCTTCAAATCGACTTTTGGGGAAAAACCTTTAAATTTTTTTACCGATTTTGATATAAATCAGAGCAATTTGTCTGTCTAGACATCAAGTTATGACGAAACATGTTATATGATCATGAAAAACATCATCGTGTACCAATCATAGGATTCAAGCAAATGTGACAATGATGATATGTGATGTATCGTTGAATTTGCAGATTATTGTAAATAAAGCTTGGACATATTCAAATCCAGGACGACATCTTTTTATCACTACCAAAAGAATGGTAAAAAAAATTCATGTGAACATCTAGGTGAAAAGATATTGATTGTGTTTGTGGATGCCAAAAAGCAATATATAAACAAACACATGACGAGTTCCAGAAGCTATATATTCAAAATAAAAAAATTAGAGAAGGATAATGAACAATTGCGTTTGAATGTTTTTAGGTATGGGTTATTGAAGAAACAACTTAAAAAACGTAAATCATTTTTTTTTTGATCAAAGAATATGTAAATCTAAACACATTCTTTACCGCAACTATTATGCGCTTTTATTAGAACTAGGTGATTATCCATGCATATGCGGGGTTGTGCCTTCTAACTTTTTTTTTATATATACAATTTAGAATGACATATTGTGAATGTGCGGTGTATCAATAGTATTCATCTTTATTGCTAGATAACATTAGCTCACTGATATGTTCAACTGTTTCTAGACGAAGATTTTTGAAAGTCGTCCTTTTGACTCAAATGTTCATTATAATTCAGAAACACAGATAATCATAATTCTTTCTTGCATAAGAAGTGAAAACGTAGTCCTCCCAAAAATCATGTTTTTTATTTACTCTTTATTTTCTTCATACAAAAGCTCAACATAATAACCAGTAGTATACGAATTAAGCAGTTAAAGCTCTATGCTCTAGAGTTTCAAGAGTTTCTTTTCGTTTTTCTTATATCTCATGGTTTCTTCTTCCTTCACCTTCTTGTATCCCTCCATTTCTTGCATGTTCTTTTTTAGGAGTTGTTACTAAGATGAACACACATTTTACCATCTTCCATTTATTTACTCTGAATTCTTAAATTGCTGTAAAATGCAATAAAGATATGAAATCATACATGTTTGTATGGTGTATTTTATTTATCTGACAAACTTTTTCAGTCTTATCTGGTCACCTTTGCTACATATACCAACAATATAATTACACAGTTCAGTTTCGTTGATTTAAATAACATAAACAAAAGTGGATGTTGCAATGTAATAATCATATTTACCTCCACATTGTTTTTATTTACGAAGCAGTTCTCATCTCAAACATTTACATAAATCAGGAAGGCATATATGAAATTTTGTGGCTTCATAAATATAGAGGATCCTCCTATTTTCTGAAAACAATGAATAGAAGCTAGCTTCAGGTTTTAGCTTCTTGACTTCCATCCATCTCTTTCTTTATAGTCTATGTTTGATATTAACCACAACCAAAAGTGTGAGAAGAAATCAATAACCACAAAACCAATTAACAGTATAAATGTATAATCAAACCTTATTATTATTTTTTTAATCACTTTCTTTTATTGAAATTGATTTAAAATAGATTACATCATTCAAAAAGTTCAACATATAATCAAACCTTATTTATTCTAATCATCTTTTGCACTTTGTTGAAGTGGTAGATCAAAAACATCTTGTTCATCTCGACAGTATGTCGGTCATAGCAAAACGTGGAGAGAACATTTTCTCCCAAGAAACTTAAGAACACCAAATCTAAAGTTAATTTTATTGCCCAAAAACAATTGCGGCACCACTAAGCAATGACTGATCCACGACTGGAGTAAGGAAACTATTGTTCAATTTTTTAATAGATAGAGATTCGTGAGCATACAAAAGAATTTTGGATTCGTACCTTCGTCTAAATTCAGCTTTCGTCATATTTAAAATTTTATTTGGTGTCTGTTCATCTCTCCTGTTAAATGTCTTTGTTAGATTTGTTATGTTGAGAACCTTTTCCTTATCAGACCTTTGCTATCGAAAATTCACAAGCATGAAACCCATAGACTAACTTGTAACTTTCTTGAAGTCTCTAGATCATGCAAGTAAATAGAGATACTGTGCCATGAAAAACCCAATAGTTTAAAGCATGAAACCCATAAACTGAGATGTTGTTATAAATCATAGTGGATTGTCATAACCA